AGTGTTTTAAACCTGCTCTGATCCACCTTTAGGGCTGTCTTGCTCACACAGGAGGAGCTGAGAAGAGAGCTCACAGGATCCTGAAACAAGCAGAATGTCTGGCCACTGGCTTCTGGTAAAGTGACCTTAATCTAGGTGGGGTCCTCTTCAGTGATCCTTTAATAAGGAAATTGTTATCCTTTATCCTTCATTTGGGATGAAGGCAGAAACATACTACAGATTTCCTTGTCTGTGAAATAGTTGTAAAGATTCAAGCTTTTCTAAGATCAGAGGATGCTCACAAAGATAAAATGAAATAAGGCATGGGAAAGTGCCTTGTAAAATGTTTACACATTCGACAATGTAGAAGCTTTTTTTCAGACTTATTTTACCTCTAGTGACAATGGCTTGTGCTGAATTCTCACTCATCCTGCTTTGGGAATTTCTTTCATGACAAATAGCCCATATGAGAAGCCTCTTTTTTACCACCTTGTCCTCATTGAATTGTATTTTAATACACAGTTTCCTAATAAATAAAGAAGTCATTAAAAAAAATGTTCCTAAATGTTTGCTAGGAAAAATGTTTGTTAAAAGAAAAATGTGAGATTATGACATTTTAATTAAACATATCAGTTAAATCCTCTTTGATAGCTGCCTCTGATGACCATGTCTTTTCCAAAAGTTTATCATTATTTTCTGCATGATATAGGCTTCCTTAAAATAGTCTCAGTGTTTTAATGATATACCCTTTAGCATCTCTCATCTCTTGCTTCTGCTCACTTTGTCTATTCTAGCCTAGTGATGGCTCAGACAGTCTAGCCTCTGTTGCTTCTATTAATACTTGTAATGCTGCAACTTCTTTTTTTCTATTGAGGAGCAACCAACAAACCAACAACAACAACAAAAAAAACCCTTCGTTTTTGTCTGTTTAACGTCTATCCTCCTTCCTCTGATAGCAGGACTGCTTTCTTCTTTGGGAATCCCTCCTTGCCCAATTCCTCAGTCCACATGCTCAATTGGAGTTGGTAGCACCCCAACCCCAGCTCCAGGGGTGGGGGCATAACATAAGCTAGAGCAATGAGAAGCCTTTCTGTGACATTTGTCATTGCTGTTTAGAGGGAGATATTCTCTTCCTACTCAGGTTGCTAAGCTGATGAGATTTAGGCTGGAGCACCAGTGGCCATCTTTGCCACTCTTTGGGGTGTGCTTTCCGAGCACAGAAAAAAGTAGAGTAAGAGACAGGGAGACAGATTGTGCTGAAGGTTCATTACTAAACCTAATTATGTGAGCCAATAAATCCCCTTTTATCTTTAAGCTAGTTCCAGTTGTATGTATTTCTCTCACTTATTACTGAAGAGTCCTGAATTAATAGACTCCTCAATCCCAGTACTTTAAATTATCTTAAATACAACTTTTATAAAAGAATGGTAGTATCTAGATCCTTAACAAACCCTAATTAAATGAAATTAAGGTGCAAAACTCCTTCTGGCAGTACTCTCTCTGGCTAACCATCTGTAGAAAACAAGAATGTAGAATCACTTTCTCCCACCTTTGTAAAACAAGCTTTTGGCAATAGTATAGCCACTCGCAGGTTACAGAGCCAGATGTAGAGTTCACCCCTGAACACCTGCCTTGTAGTAAGGCTACATCACCATGGAAATGGTGGAAAAGTCCATAACCATGTAGAAGACTTACACTGAAGAAAAGGCTCTGAGATTCCACAATTATTTGCACTGTTTATATTTCCTTTGATGATCAGGAAACATCACTTTGTCAAGCATTGATTGGCACCATATTAGAACATATAGAATCTGGGGCCATACTTTCCATTTTTTCTGATCTGGAATCCACTTCTACTCCACAAAGCAGGAAATAAATCTATTTGAGCTTTACTGAATATACTTTCTCCCTATTCTCTTCATGGCCACCACATTTGCTATTTTAAGTCAGAAGTTTATTCTTATAAAAAAAGCAATACTGTGTCATTATTTTCTGATTACCATGTTAATCCATAATCTGAGACTAATTGCCAAAGCACTATTTTATGCATTATCTTAATGAATTCTAGCACTATCCCTAGGAGGTCAATATAGCATGGTTCCATTTTTTAGATCAGGAACTTAAATTGCACAAGATCACATAGTTTGCAGTAGTGGAGGCAGGATCGATCCAAC